CCACCACGCCCACGTGTGGGTTCAGGTGCATATATACTGCCAGGCACACCTGCCTGCGTGTGTGTCCACATCCAGCAAACAGGAACCGAACAACTTGGCCTTTCCTTGTACTTCACACACTCGGGTGATCAAGAAATGGACAGCAGAGGAGTATTCGATATTTCTCTCCAAAGTGCACACTTTCTGAACCAAATATCCATTTAATTCACACCAGAATCATTAAGAAGTTAGAAAGATGTGGATTTCTTTGTGTAGAAAGCCTTACAAAGTGTTTGTCTTCTGATCACATGAAACCATGCATCTATTTTAAAAAAAATATATATATATATATACACACACATTTAGTCAAAATAGACACTATGTGCCAATTGGCCAATTGGTAGAGTATTTGCATATTCAAGACCCTGACTGTCCTGGAGAATGTGGAACACCCCAGCACTGTATCCACGCCAAGCCGGACCCCTGAACCATGGACTTTAGAAAGCACCCCTTCCGGTACTCAGTTGGGCTGGCTTTTCAAACCCTGCTGGGCAGCTTTGGGGGAGTACACCTTATTTAAAAAAAATTTCAACCTGCTAAGTGGAGGTAGAGGGAGGCAGAAGGTAGAAGGCACCAGCTTACCCTGGTAATTCTAAAGAAAACTGTGTCTTTCCCATTCAAGCAGGGACACAAAGGAAATTGAGTCATCAGCTTCATGCTGTGCAAACCCCTAGATTTTCTCTCCGAGGCAGAAAACATCCCCTTTGAAAACTGCGCTGTGCCTGGCAGCATCTGCCACCTGCTTCGGCTCAGTCTTTCACAAGAACCACTTCCCGTCCAGGCCCTGGGTGGAGTCGGCGAAGACAGAGGTGCTGGGGAAATACAGTTGCAGCCATGTCCTGTTCCCAGCCCCAGCCCCAGCCCCAGCCAGGGGGCACTGCTGGGGAGGCCCAACTTACCTCCCACCACCTCCTGTCCATCAGGGGACCCCAGTCTGGAAGGCTGTGACACCGCAGGCTGATCTGAAACCTCACTTGGGTGGCCTCGTGTCCCCCAGAGCTGCACACTGGGTTTCAGCTCAAGACCCTTGACTTTTGTAGCAAACCATACCAGCCCCCTGCCTGGGTCCTCAAGACTTTCTCCCACGGGGGGGGGGGGGGGGACACAGAACCCGAGAAGGAGCATGTGACGAGGGGCTTGCTGGGTCAACGCATCTGAAACTCTGGCAGGGGTCAGCGTGAGAACCTCTGGAGGCCTCTTTCCTAATTTTCAGGCGGAGGGCATTGCCCTAACTTGTCTCTTAGACAAGGAACAGCCTCTCCCTTTTCTCCAAGCCTGCAAATGACAGCATGTCTACTAGGGCAGCTGGACTCTGATAAGGGAATTGACTTATTTTAATAACAAATAATTTGGTTGACATCTCTGACAGCTGTGGCCAAGCTTGGGAAGAGACAGGCCAGAGAAGGGCAGGGCGCCAAGAGTCCACAGCCTGCCAGGGGTGGAGAGAGAAGCCGCTCACGCGAGGCTTCACCTATACTGGCCACAGGGGACAGGGAGGATGGGGGAACCACGCACAATTTCCGAAGTCCTCCAGAGGCAACGTAATAAATATGCGGAGCGCAGACAGTGGAGTCTAATGTAGCAGGATGTCAGACAACGGGGAAATCCCAGCTCCAGTACCCAGTCCTTGGGCAAGTGATGCCACCTCCCAGGGCTGCTGTCCGGCTTATGTAAGATGACCTGTGCTAACCCCTGGCTTTATGTTTCGCATAGTTGCTGCTCACTACGTGTTATTTCCTAGGGACGCAGGACCGATGGTACAGTAGCAGTGTCAGGCTTTTAAAATGTGGGTGCTCCTAACCTTCTGGTGATGTTCCAGGCAGGGCTAGAAGCCTCGGGACAACACAGAGAATCTTTCTCAAGCATCCACTTTGCTTTATGGCAAGACATATATATATCATTATTCTTATATTAAACTCAAACCGAGTATACTGTGGAGTACAATACAAAAGTGTAATGAGTGTGTAAGACAGTATTTAAGGTGTGGGCAAATGCCATTACCCCGGGCGACACACCCTCCCCGCCCATGCAGGGGGTGGGGGTGGGGCTCTCACAGTCCTGGATGATAGGGGTCTATCGGGGACGAATTGTAAGAAAAGTGTCCTGCCCTAGTACCCTAACAGTCTCAGAAAGGTGTCACTAGTTCTCCTTTTTCAGGGTGTGTTTCCTTCTTGGGGAAAAGAAGGGATTTTTCTAGAAGACCCTTAGAGTCCTGGTCTCTGAGTCTATGACAATGAGTCAGGAAATACTTCCTGAATGAATGGAAGGAGATCTGTCATAAACTAAGAATTTCATGCTGTCCAGCATCTCTTCCTGTGTGGGGGCAATTTGGAAGAAAACGGAACTTTTTCCTACTGGCTGCCAGTCTCCACCACACGGACCTGTCACCATGCCTTTGCAGGAAGTAGATGTCCCATGTGCGAAAGGGGAATGACTGAATTCCTTGATGCTAACCTCAGCCGGGATGGGGCTTTGCTTCCTGGCCTCTTCACATGGGAAAACACAGCCCAAACTCGAACTCCCTGCAAGGGGAGGAGTCTCTAATGTTCAGTGGGACCAGAAAGCTGGGTGCCACCCCCAGGGCCCAGGGCTCTCAGGTGCTCCCCTGTTTCTCAACACTAGGGGGCAAGTCCCTAGTGATGGATGATCTATGGCCCGCGAAGACAAGATGTGTGCACCGAGGACTCATCCCCTCTTCCCTCTCTACCTAGGGCCACTTTCTTCCTCTCTCACAGGACACCTAATTCAAGACACCTGTTCTCCAACTCAGTTCCTGGGTCCAGTGTAACTACAACTGAGCGTTTCTCTACTTTTTGCTTTCCTATACAAAGATTGGGCCCTTCCTTCCTCCCCAGAACCTTGCTCCTTTCTAAAGTTTCCTCAGGGTCATCCAGAGCCCACCACTCCCCAGAATGAGGTAACGACAGTTCCTTTCTTTCCCCACTCCTCTTTCTTCTCCCACCCTCACACCCGCCACCTGCCCAGCCCTAAGCCCAAGTCATGTCTCCTTTCCAAGTCTCGGTTCCTTCCAAACAACTTTACAAGCACATGAAAGCCGGGTCCCAGGCAGTTACTGCTATCGGCACTTCGTTATGCTGCTTCTAAATGGTTCTGCCCAAAGGGGCCGTGGACACTCGGGGTCAGAGTCAGGCAGGGGTGAGCCTGCTGGTCTCTGGGAAACCCTCAAGGGTTAGGACAGCACCAAATATTTGGGGGTGGGGCCCTGTAGAAGAATCAGGGAGGCAGGCTGGAGAGAGTCGGAATTTTCAAAGACAAAGCAGAAGTCCGCACTGGTAGGTAACATCCAAATAAACTTCCCTAGAGGCCATAGGGAAACCACCATGCATCTCTTCCTAAAGGCCAGGCTCGGAGCTCTCTCTGCTCTCGAGTCACCCTTTTTTTCCCCATCCTGAATGTTTCCGTCTTTCAAGAGCCTGTTTGAACCCCACTTCCCTTCGGAAGGCTCGCCTGAGGTCCACCAGCACCCCACCTTCCCCCAAATCCTTTCTGAGTTTGCCCATCCCGTACATCTAACAGATTCTCACTAAGCCTGGACTTTGCAGCTCAGTGGACCTGGGTCCACACCCAGCATACTCCTGGCATTGTGAACACTGGCAAGTCACTTAACCTCTCTGAGCCTCAGTTTCCCTCCTGTAAAACAGATCTAACAACAGGACACTTCTCACTGGGCCATTCTGAAAGTAAAATGAGACGCCACATGTAAAGGATTTAGCATAGTGCTTGGCACAGTGAAAGTATCAGTAAATGGTAGCTGGTGCTGTTACTGCTGCAACTATCATTATTCCTTCTGCTCCAGGAATCTAAATCCTAGATGCCCAGATCCCCACCTAGCCTCAGTAGCCATGTGGGACTGTGTGTGTTGTTTTCTTGGTACCCCTCAAAGCTGAGTTTAATAAATACTTGCTGAGTAGAATTAACTGTAGGCTGAGCTGCCTTAATGACCCAGCTGGCACGTCTTAAAAGAAAAATTAATTTTGCTAGCGATAAGCCAATCAGCCATGTAATTATCTGTACACACAGAAACAAAGAAAGGGAACGGCCAGGGTTGAGCCATGCTAGAACACCTCACCGGCGGCCCCTCCCCTCCACAGCCATGGAAAGGCGCCCACCAGGTTTGGATGTGATATTGGAGGCCCAGCTCCAGGGACCCTGATGTTACCCTGGTGTGAGATCCCCCTCCCAGCTCTGAGGCTGCCAGGCAGGGAACATGAGCCACCGTACTGTTTGGATTTCCCCAAACTGATTGGCAGAAACAGGAGGTTGCAAGGACTGAGCAGCTGGCCCGGTCTTGCCCTCCTGTTCGTACTCCCCGCCCCAGGCTAAAACCTCATGGAGACCCAGCGCAGAGCTGATTCAAGTTCCCACAGGCAAAGGTGGTCAGTGACAGGCAGTAGACTGTAAGCTTTGGAACCCAGGCTCGGTGGGGAGCCGCAAGGATCCAGGACCACTTTCTGGAAAGCGCACTGCCACTCGCTCTCACACATGCAACTGGGAGCCCCTCTGTGGCCACCTTGCCCCGTTCCAGCCCCGGCTCCAGCCTCGGTCCCTGCCCCGCCCAGCCCTGCCCTGCCGGCCACAGCCCCTTGGGCACGGGAGCCTGTTAGTCCAGGCGCCGAGTGCGCGCGTCCAGTACAGTTACTTTCTGCCATGTGCTCCCGCTCCAGCCACCTCACCCAAAACTGCGCGCGGCAGCCTGCCCGCCAAACTTTCTCCTTTCTCTTTTCCTTTCAACGACACAGTGCTTCCCACCGACAGACGCTCCAACGGCTTAGCGCAAATCGCTAACTGCTTTCCTGAACGCAACACCCGTCGCTCGTCGCCCACTTGACTTCAGTCCCCCAGGGCCAGAGCCGGCTTAGCCTGCGGGGCTGCGGCGGCGCCCGGCTGGGCACCCCTGGCGCCCGCTCCCTCCCGCTGGCCCGGCGGCGGCGGGCACTCACCGATCTGCGCCAGGCTCAGCTGCACGAGGCAGAGTCCCCAGGCTGCGCGCCACCAAAACGTGTCCATGGCGTCGGGGCGAACCGAGAGAGCAAGCGAGTGCCGTGCAGGGTCCCGGGGCGGGAGCCGGCGCACCGAACCTGTCGGAGGCTGGGGTCCGCTGGGCAATGAGGCCGCCTCGGAAGTTGGCTGCAGTTTTTATTCGAGGGTTGAAAGAGTGACCTAAGACGGAGGGAGGGAGCGAGCTCAGGACACACCCAAGCGAGGGGGCTGTGACTAAGCAGCCAGCAGAGGTTTAAAGACGTACCAGCCCTCCTTCGCGCTGCCCTCCGCCCCCGCCCGCCTCCCTACCCCGACCGGGAACCCCGCAGCCCGGGCGGGCGCCGGGAGGGCGGTGGGGACCCCGTCTCCGAGCGCCCACCGGCCGCGCGCCCCGGGACGCGCCCGCAGCTGGGAGGGCGGCCTCTGCACGGAGGATGACAGCGTCCTAAAACCTCGCCCCTTGTATTCAGCCTCCGGCCTCTCCCTTCCCGCTAAATTCATCTTTGAATCCGGCTGGAGAATGATTCTCTGGGTTTCCCAGGCAGCTGGATATCCCGGGAGAGGAGCTGGGAAGGGGCGAGGTCCTGCCCGGGACGGTGGCGCTTCCCTGCCCGCGCTGGGGAGCGAGGGGTGGGGAGCTTGTAATTCGTCCCGGGAGAGGGAAGGAGAGCTCATTCCTCTTCCCCTCACAGAGAAGGGAAGTCCACATGGCTTGGGCGGATCTTTGCTTCTTGTCACACGACTGCTCCAGGGGAAGGCTAGCTATGGCCAGTCATGGGGCTGGTCTTTGGCTCCACTAACCCATGTGTTCTCCGGTCATCGGCTGGCACCTCTCTCCATCCACCCACGCACGTACTCGTTCATCCTGCCAAATACCCATCCATCCTCGGTCCACTCGGTGTCCACTCACATCCATCCCTCTTCCATTCATCCATTAATCCAACCGCACAACCTTTCCGTCTAGCCTTCCATCCAACCCCTATTCTTACATTCAGCCTCCTATACTACAGCTTATCCATCATTCCATACATCGTTTTCCTCATGCCTTTATAAAGCTACATCTACCATGCTCTCCTCCACCCGCCCACATAACTGTTGATGTATCCACTCATCTCCCATCCACCATCATCAACATACCCATCCGTCATTTCGTCCATCCTCGCATCCACCCACGCATTCATCTCCTCTTTCTTGCTCCCATTCATACTCCTTTCTGTGTAAACATTAATCTGTTTTTCTCAATCCGTTGTACCAGTCGATCTCAAAGAGGTCAGGGGATTGTAATATTTTCAGGGGAAGCATTTTGAGTTTGAAAAATCATACTTTGAATCTCAATTCCTTGTCACCTATAATATATTATGGTTTAATATTTGAACATCAAAAGCAGTATTTATTTTTAACATGAACTACTGAAAGTAAGTCTGAATGGACTTCTTGCCTGGCAAGTTACACAGAAAATGAAAGTGGTTACCAGTGGTTTGTGGCACAACCCAGAAAGAACCATGCCAGAATTTCTGAAGGAAGGTAAGATTTTGTTATTTATTGAAAGAAACTGGAAAATTGAGAGAAATGCACCCAGCCTTCCACCCGCCCATTCATTCATCAAACATATAGTGAGTACCAAAAGGAATCAGGATAAATAGGGCTTGGCCTTGTCTTCAGGGACCTCACACCCTAGTAGGGAACAGACTTACAAGTAGGCTGTTACCACACAACATGAAATATGCTGCAAAATATGTGTGTTATCAGTCCTAGCGAAGGGAGTCATGCTTTTTCCTGGGGAACACCAGGGAGGCCTCACAGGGGAGGTGATATTTGAGCCAGGTCTCAAAAGAGGAGGAGGAAATCTTCAGATGAGACTGTGGGGACCAATCATCCGCGGGGAGTACTCTGTAGAGCTGAGTAGCAAGGATGCAGGAGACAAAACATGTGGGTCCAAACCCTGCCTTGAGTGCTTGCTAATTGTGTGGCCTTGACTAAGGCAATAAGCCTTGATTTCCTCAAATATAAAATGTGCTTAATAATATTAATAGTATCTACCTACTTCATAGAATTAGTGAGGATTAAATGACTCAAAAGTCCTGCATATATTAAGCACCAGATATATGTGTATATATGCATATAGTAAGCACTGTATATAAACGTTTGCTACTATTACTAGAAGCAAAATTGCATGTTAGCATAGAAAAGTGAAAGAACGTGGCTTATTCAGAGAATGAGAGCTATTTGGACGGACCTGAACATTAGCACAGATGATGAGATTGGGAGGGCGATAGCCAGACACGAGGCTGTAGAGGTGGGGGTGGGGACAGGCTGTAAACTATGCCAGGGAGTTTGAACTTGACCGACCCTATGGGAAATAAGGAGCCAATGTCAGTTTTTAGAATTATTATTATAATAGTATTATTATGTTAAAATATACATAATATCAAATTTACCATCTTACCCATTTTAAAGTGCATAATTCAGTGGCGTTCAGTGCTTTCACAATATTGTGCAGCCACTACCACTGTCTGGTTCAGTGTAGGTTTTTAGGTGGAGAGATCCCGTTTGACTACAGATCGCTCCTCTTGCGTTTTTCAGGGAGTGTATTGGGGACTAATAGATCACTGTGTGGACCTACTCCTCAGGCACTCAGCGGCTGGCATGCCATGACTCAAGGGGTTCCCTGTCTGAAATGAAGCCAGCTCCTCCGAGCCTTCATTTGAGGAGTAGGCACTTTCAAAATGCTGTCAGGAGCAGGAAAGACTTGTCCCTGCTACTGTCTATGATCAAGAGGACATTTTGCTGAAACAATTGGGGGCAAACTGGCTCCTGGGTAGAGTTTCAGGCTCTAGCCATGGGAGAAAGCAGCTCTGGTGGGTTTCGTGGACAAGAACACTGGGTGAGGAGTAGCTTTGAACACCTCGTGTGACCTCCGGGGATTTTGGATTTCTTTTCTTAGAGGAAGGAAGTGATGTGAAGTGAGTAGTCACTAGGAGTGATGTTTGTTTTGCTGTGTTTCACGGAATCTGGAGGTTCCTTGGGGACCCCTCAAAAGCAGACATTGTAGTCAGAGCAAATGCTTAGGAGTGAGCTGTTTCTCTCCTTCCCCAACCCCATCCCAATCACAGAAGTTCTACTTGCATCAGTTTTATATGCAGAGTACTGCATGAAATTTCATTTTGACAGAGGAGTTTATATATATATGTATATATATATATATACCACCAAACTAAGTCATCTCGAACCCTGGTCCCTTCTCTATTAATGCCGTAAACAATTCTGACAATGAAAGAAAAACAGGTATGAAAGTGCTTTGCAAACTACAGAGGGACATGCAAATTCTAGGGGTTATAATTAGGATTATCCTCCCAGGGGGGAGATATTTTCTCTGCCAGCTTCCCGATAGTTTAGTGAGGGGCTGAGATCTTTGCCCCCATACCACAAATGATTCATTTCAAATAACTGACCCAGTGACTTACTGAGTCAGGGCCAGCCTTTGGGAATTCCTGGATCAGCCCTCTCATTCACTTTCAACTCCAAACACACCCCCCACACACACATACCACTGGTCACGCGAAGTTTTCCCCATTTGCGCCTCGATAAAGGTTAAAATCTTTAAAGGGATTAATTGTAGATGCTCGATAATATCTGCTGTGTGTTGCACCAGCTACCTTTCTAAGCCAAGCCATGGGATGTGGGAAAGTGGAAAAGAGCTTGAATTGATCTGGGTTGACATGAGATCACACTATTTGGAAAGAATCCAGAGTGAAATCAGCTCAGCCCAAGTTTGAGCATCGGCTCTTCCCTTTATCAGCCAGTGACTTAACCTCTGGGAGTTTCGGTTATCCCAGCCACAAAACAAGGGTAAGAAGACCTTTCCTGTAGTTTGTTAGGAGTGGTAGATGAAAGACAGCATCGAGACCCTTTACTGGGGTGCTTGCCTCATGGTGGGACGCAATGACCCATAAACCTCTAAGCTACCTAAGAACAGGGACATAGCTGTCTTGGGCACCAGCAGATACTCAGCTGCCAGTGCCTGACATATCCTAGTCTCTGACATACATATCATGCTCCATAAATAAGCATTCCATAAATGCATGAATGATTGTTATTATTTTCCCTTCTCATCACAGGCATTTAGGGGTGTTTCGGGAATCACATGAGCTAATAGGTGGAAGCACACAGACCATTTGACAATTTCAAATGCAAGCTGGGGTAATTGGTTTATGCAGACTGCAGTGGAGCCAGAGCATTGCTCACTCTGGCAGCCTGGGATTTTTTTGCTGAAATATTGGGGCCTGATGGTTTCTGACTATTAGTAATAAATCTTCTTCCTCTTAAACAAAGAAAAGTCAAATCTAAACCAAATGTAAGCAGGAGTGTGAAGAGAAAGGCTGGAAGATCTGGGGCCGAATCATGGAATTTCAGGATTATAAATACAGCAGGTCATGGACTCTTTTAGAGGGACAACATTCAATTCTTTCATGGGGCTGCTTCCCAGAAAAGGAGCAATCTGGCACAGTTAAAAGAAAAAGGGCCATTCTCATTAAACTTGAACTTTAAAATAAAAAATTCATTCTTAGTTGATATTCACAGTATGAATTCTGCACATGCAAATGAGCAGTGGTGAAAAAAAAAAAGCTCTCATAAAACAGCTATTGGTGAAGTCTAAATAAACCAGTATCTGGGAAGTAATCGTCATGAAAAATAAATGACCTCGAATGACTACTCTCAAGCTAACCAAGTGTGATAACAGAGCTGAGTCTTTAGGATGAGTAAGGCTTTCAAATCATGACAAATAAAGTAGCTAGTGTGGCTGCCACAGCCTGGAAATGCCAAAAGGACAGGTGCCTCTGTGCTTTACATATGTCCATGTTCATCACCAAGTGGCTTTTATGCAGACCTTTGGAGGTAAAAATAGTGTGCAGTTAAGACCAAGTCCCACGGTTGGATGATAACATTGAGAAACATGAATATTTGTAGTGAGGATGAAATTTGAATTAACGGTGTGTGATTTTATGTAGCAAGCTAATTGGAAGGAAGACAAGTGAAAGAGTCTATATTTTATGCACTATTGTTTAAAAGAAATAATTTTATTTCTTTTAAATAGATGTAGTCACTAAAATTCTTATTTATTCCTCTTCTTTTCACTTCATACAAAGGGACTAGTTTAATATCTATTGGCAAGTTTTAAGGGACCTGCTTTAATGAATATTTA